ATGCATTGTGGAATAACTGGATTTATAACATTTTCTCTGGGGGGAAAGAGCTTTATAGATGTGTTTTCACCCTGGAAGCTCTGGCCAGGTGTGAAAATGCTGCTTTCTATATAGAGTCTGTGCAAGTAGCAAATGCGAATTATTTGTTTCTAGAAACATTCTCAACCAAAGCTACAACTAATGATTCCTAAAGGTGAACCAATATAAAAAAGGATCTAAATGGAATTTTTATAGTCGATAGAAATGACAAGATTTTACTTTAATTGAAAACTTGAATGTCTTTGGTTTACTTGGATTTTTACCTGTTTTTCTTTCATATTCTTTTGCATATAAAATAAGCAACAACTTGGAAAGAAAAGTATGTTTATTTCCTAGAGTGCATTGATTTCCGTTTGAAAATGAAGGCACTATATTTCCCATCTGAATGCGTTAACTTTTCAGTAAATATATGTTAGCCAATTATTTTCTTGTCTCAGTATCAATCCATTAACATGTGTGGCTGTTTTATGGTAGACAAAAATCTTAATTTCAGAAAATATGTTTCTTAAAGGGCTTAAATGCTTTTTTGACTAGAAATGACATTGAGTACATATGTAACATACCTCCTCTTTGATAATGGAGACTTTTAATTTTTCAGACTGTTGATGTTGCCAGCGTGTTGTTGTGTGAATGTTTCCCAGATGATTATGGAAGTAAAGCAATGGACATAAATCAGAGAGCCCTCCCCAGCCCCTGACCCCTGTACATGATACAGTTGGATCCAGGGTTAGCAAACTTGGGAGGAATTTTACACAATATCTTTATTAGAATCTAGGATTTAATCCCTAAATCTCAAAAGACTTAACCCTCCCCTAAATTATACAGTATATTTTTTGGTTGTCTGTAACTACTATTTTTCTTGTTTATAGATGAGGCGGGATATTAGGGACTTCAGCTATGAGAGAGACCTAACTTTCTAGACTATCAACTAGTTGTTATTTGATAAACTAATTAAATGCACTGATATAGAAATGCCAGCATTTGGGGCTATTTGGCTATTGACTTTTAGAAATTATTTTCACTTTTAATATGTATTTTCTAATAACACTGTACTTTTATATTATAAAGGACTGATGATAATTAATGACAGTAAGATACCTCCTGAATTAAATTAGCTACTGTAATTGAGGATGAGAGGACAGGTATTGCCTTCATTAGTCAAATAAAGACAGAATCAAGCAAGTGGAGAATATGATTTTTCCCAAGGTCAGCATTCTAGAATTACCCTTGATGTTGCAACGATTCACTGTGCTGACTCACTCTATATATTTAATGTATTTTGTAACAGAGCCAGGACTTGATGAAGCAACATATTATCTTCCCACTTGTGGTTACTTTTCAGACAGGGAGATAAATCAGAACCTCAGAGTTACTTATTTTGCTCAATATTTCCCCTCTATTTCTAACTTTGGGTCACCTTTAGTCAAAGAAATAGCTTAAATTTATATGTGTGTGTTAAAAAAAATACAACACATCTGTAACAGTCCTAAATTCTGTATAACATGCGCAGTGGCAGAAAGTTACCACCATGTGAGGTTGTGAATTGTTCATCCCATACCTCACACAAGAAAAAAATACTCCCCTTTGTAAATAAGAGGAATTCGCAACTTAGCTGATTGAGAATCAAAGTATTAGCTTCTAAACTCATCTAAACTAAGAAATAGTGATTTCTTAAATTTTGAAATATTCACAAACAATGCTTAGTCCCTCTTTAATATTTCCTATAAATTATTAGGAATGATATCACCATTCTAAAATTATATGAATGTAGAAAAAAATTTGCTTTTTGGAGAGATTAATTAAAAACCCTCATTTCATGGTGGAGTAATTTAGAAAACAAGCCCAGAGAACTAGACTTGGCAGCAAATGCCATGACATATGATTTTTATATTTTCAAAATAGATTATCTTTTAACTGAATAACTCTCTATTGGCCCCCCAAATTCTTCAAATTTCTGTCTTTGTGGATTTTTAAATATAATATTTAAGAAGGAATGGTCAAGTTGGCACGAGTGTTTCATTAATAGAGAAAAATGACAGTGGCTGACAGTTTTTTAATATATATTCCAGACGACTTAACCTTTATACATATTCTTGTTGAAAATTAACAATGGGTCTCCTGAGGAGTTGTATCCGGATGAGAGAAGGGGAAGTGTAAAGCATGGACCTATTAATACATCCAGGAGGGTGGCTGGAGCCCAGGAGTTCAAGGTTGCAGTGAGCTATGATCACACCACTGCACTCCAGCCTGGGCAACAGAGACAGACCCTGTCTCTTAAGAAAAATAAAAAACAAAAAACAAAAAAAACAAGAATAGACCTACACCTATTGTGCCTCAAAATTTTTCTGTATTAGCCTGATTTACTTACCCACAGGAGCTATTTCAATGAGGCCTTTAAGAAACTCACTGGTGTCCTTCTTCTCTTACATGTGTGTGCACCCATGTACACACACACGCTATGGTTTGCTGACTTAGATAAAGATGTGAGAGCAAATGTAAACCTGACAGTTTTTCTTTTCCTAACTGTAGGAGTGGGCTTTGCCACCAGGAAAGTGGCTGGCATGGCCAAACCCAACATGATTGTCAGTGTGAATGGGGACATGATCACCATTAAATCAGAAAGTACCTTCAAAAACACTGAGATTTCCTTCAAACTCGGCCAGGAATTTGATGAAGTCACCGCAGATGATAGGAAAGTCAAGGTGAGAAATAAGGAATTGGCCCAGAGTAAATACCTAGTTTCTAAATTGTCACTGCCTGCAAGAAGATATTTTACTATAAAAAGAAAACTATTTTGTTATAGACCAAAGAGCCCTGAACTGCTACATCTAAACCGTGTTGCCTTCAATACATATAGTTGGTGAATTTCCTCATTTTTATTAAGTTGTTCTTAATATGCCTATTATTATTAAAAATTATTAGCATAATTTATGTATCATATAATATATGAGTATTTGAAGTTAATTAAGGTAATATTACAATGTTAGAGAATTTTTTAAAAGAGTAGAAGAAAGAAAAGGAAGAAAAATCACCCATACTGCTACCATCTCAACGTAAATTTATTATTTATATTCCTTCACAGTATTTTTTCAAATGCAATTTATATAAAACATTGTGGACATAATGTATATGTAAGTTGTTATGCTGTTGTTTTTGACATTCACTTTTTTCTTATAGCAGTTTATTCTTGACATTTAAAATTACTAATGACCTCAAAATATTCCTTTGAACAAAGGCACTGTATTTTTTATTTTATTTTCTGCCATCATATGCTAATAGTAATCACTTTTTATTATGCCTGCAGAGCACCATAACCTTAGATGGGGGTGTTTTGGTACATGTGCAGAAATGGGACGGCAAATCAACCACCATAAAGAGAAAACGAGAGGGTGATAAACTGGTGGTGGTGAGTATCTTCTGGCTCCTCAGTTCCAGATCCTACTTCTAGATCATCTCCTAGTCTTTATGCCACTTAAGGAAACAGATACTTACCTTGATTATATAGAACAAAAAGGTGATTTTATTGGGATTATAATTCCACTCTGGCAATTGCCCTTCATGCTTTCGAGCTCAGCCGAGGTATGCTGTCTCCCAGCAAGTATTCCTGCTCCCTCTTAGGCACCCCAAGGCTGTCTCCAGCAGTGCCTCCACCACACTGTAGTATATATCTCTGTTTCTTATTCACCATGTGCATTGCAAGCTTCTTTGAGGGAAAGACTTATATCTTCCTGGTCTTTGTATCTCCCTAATTCATTACAATATGAGGTCTATATATAGGAGCTCAGAACAAATGTCTTTTGAATTAATATTGTTTCCTTCCCAACACTGAGAGATACAACAAATAAACCAATGGTTTAGTCCCAGTGATTGACCAAGATTTTTTTTTTGTTTGCATGTCAAGGAATGTATCATGAAAGGCGTCACTTCCACCAGAGTTTATGAGAGAGCATAAGCCACGGGACACTGACCTGGACTGAAGTTTGCATCAAACTCTATGACATACTATTGGATGTATTGTTCAAAAAGAGATTGTTATTTTCCACTATTAAGCAAGCAACTGATTTTATCCCATGCTGATTTTATTCAATATGGTTGTATTGGTTAAATAAAACTTTTTGGATTTAAAAGGTGATGTAATGATGTATTTATTGTGCTGGATAGTTTCTTACTCATTATTGAGTGAAGGAAATAGAAAGTTTGCATTATTGCTTTGTTTCTGATACAAGTAATAACATATCTTCTGATAATTTGAAGTAAAAAAATTAATATCTATGAATCTTCCACTTTTCTAAGTAGGAGATAATAACTATGTACTGTTACTGAATAGTAAATCCTTCTTTAGTATATCTATAGTTAAGTAAGTATCT